ATTATGCCTCTTCTTGAAACGCTCTTCCCAACTTTTAGAACAAGCAAACTCTTTGTTTTTGATTTTACTCCCCATTTCACTAGCATTTTCTTGCAACACTGCCACTTATGGGAACGTTTTCTTGTTTTTTTTGAGTAAACCACTTAATAAGTCCCTTGTGAATCTTTTCATGTGCAGATAATTTTAACTTCCTACATCTAACATTTGTTTTGTCATACGCTGATAAAATGTTTTCTCTGTTTTTCCATATTGTTGCAACAATAGACTTTCCAAGTGCTAATTCCTTACAAATGTCACTCTGCTTTACTCCACTTTTTATTTTGTTAATAATCTCGTACTTTTCATTTAGTGAAAAAGCTTTGCGTTTTTGTTTTTCCATTCTAAAACGATTTACATAACGCGACAAAAATAACAAGTCACTGCCTGTCTCTCGCTCTCACTAATATAAACAACTCCGCACGATTCGTGTTGCTGAGCGTGGAAGTTCGTTATAAACGGAAAGTTAATATACAACTGACATAAAAAGTGATCGTTGCATCCGGAAGTTCGTTATAACCAGTAAAAAAATACGTTGGTCTTTATGGACGACGTTTCAATTAAAGGAAAAAAGTTTGTTCTAACCGAAATTTCACTATAACCGGGTTTATTATAAGCGGACTTTACTGTATACTATATACTTTGTTRTTTAAATTCAAATAATATGGACTAAGACATTATATGATACTCACAGTCGTTTCTCAGGTCAGTCTTCAAGCCCTCTCTGGTTGCGGATATCTGTTCGACAGGGGCATTATACATTTTGGTACGGGTAGCCGACATAATGGGAGTTGGATCCCTAGATCTTGGTTCAGSTGTATTGTAGTTGAATTCGACCGTGTTGTAATTCTCATACTTGCTGCAGAAGGCCCAATACTTCCCTAAAGTAATTATTACAAAACAACATGTTAAATTAAGGCGGATTACAAAAATGTTAGCAATTTACCTAGCTTGGGAACATATTTCAGATCAGCTGTTAGTCCAATCGCCCGTATCATTTCAAGTTTAAGTTTGACCGTTTCAGTAAGCATGTGTTGACAAATTTTACAAACACCTTTAGTGTCATCTAAGTACCCTGCAATCTAATATTTACTTATTTTAATCGCATGTTTCCATACGAAGAACTTAAGGTTTAGCGGATCAATAATATTATAATGCTTAGTTTCACTAATTTTCAGTGTGAGTGATACTGAGTTTTTTTGGGCCAACGCAAGTGCTAACACACTTTCAAGAATGAAGAAAGGACTTTGCTTGTATTTCAAAATGTAAAGCGTATTCAAACAAACTATAGCATTAAGTTGTTCTGCTTCTTGTTAAATTTCGTCTGTTAGTTATTTTAGTATCTTGAAATGTGAAAGGTGTTAGGGATCGTTAACGTCTTTACCAAAACTTCCGAGGATTAGCAAGCTTTTCGAAAATGTATAAATATTTGTGTCGAAAAAAGCAGGAAAATTTCCATTGCAAAGCCACCATCTCGTAACGAGTTGAGCAGTAGAAAAGGTTCACACTCAAGCACTTAAACAGAAATTGCTAAATATTTTTTTTGTTCTAGTCGTTCAGAAACCCGTCGTTCTAGATCTATTCCCCGGCTTTGTCTTAGTGATTATTGCAAACTTCTTTCACTATATGACCAAACATTTCCCTCAAGTTTCCCGCCCGTATTTCCAACACCTCCTTGATTCGATGCTTAGCAGGAACTAATCATTAAGTGCCCTTGATTCAAGCAGGAAATTGATTCCATTCCACAGAACAGCAGGACTTTGGATTGGATTTATGCATGTAATAAATGTAAACAACTGGGCACTTTCAATATCAAACATTGCATTTGGCATCATCAGGGAAATATGATTAGTGTCGTTTCCAATCATAAATTTGCATATCAAATGCAAACGTGCACTTATTATATGCAGCATTTACTTGAACAATGACTGTAGATAAGAGAAATAGAGGGCATACAGATGCTGAGTGTAGCAGTTAATAACCTCAAATACTATAGGAGCCCGCCGAGGCTGAAATAAAGCAAGTGCCTAACGACGCGAGCCAGTTTAGGCAATTCTATTATAGACGCACTAAGGAAAATGGTTAATAATTGTAAAATTGTTCGCTTACTGAGTCTCCCACAAACTCGATAAAGTACTCCCTTATCGTTCTTGAACTATCACCACAACACAAGTTTAGGGAAAAAGTCTTGCACCCTGTTCTTTTGCATACCAGACACCCCATATTGTTGAAATAAATTAAACTGTCCCCTTCATACTTTTGAAAATTATAAAGCCAGCGTAAAGCCAAAACTAAACATACAAATAACCTCTCCCTTCAACGGGTCTGTCATCTGTCCAAGTGTTGACCTCTTTGATAGCATTCATAAAAAAAACTGTTTAATCAAATAATTGCATTCAAGCATTTTGGTTTTTTAGTTGCACGAATAAAGTAAATTAAAAAAATCTTCAAAAATAAATTTTAAGAACAATTGGCAACCTCGCTAAGAGGCTTCAAACAATTTGAAAAAACGAACCCTTTTCCCAATTTTTTTGTAGAGGTTGGTGGCAGTTCCTCAACGAATGGGTTTTCTGATTGTTGATAAGCCACTCCAGACACTCTGCTCAAAACGACACAATTTCCGTAATTTACGCAATCGCATAGCACGATACAACCAGTCAGCAACCTCTAGCAGAACCTACCGACTGCGCCAATTAAATATTTGAAGAATAGCAAACCGTTTTTAAAAACTATTTGTCGTTCTTCAAACAGTTGACTGATTCATACAATAGATAGCAGATGTGTTTTTAGCACCCACTAGTAAGCCTCCTTTGGAATGATGAACACCGGTATGAATTTCAGAGCTCTTTATTGAATACGGGAACCGAATTATTGATGAAATGTAGATATTAGAAGACCAATCTAACACACATAATATTCAACACGTAAATAGTAGTTTTCACACTTAAAAAACCACCTACTTTTCCAACAATGGTTTACTTAAAGAAACATATTGAAACGAGAAAAAAAATGAGAACGATTGCAACTAACTAACTAACTGTTAGAAATCGGTACCAATGATGTGCGTTCCATTCCTGGGAAACTTATAAATAATCAATTTTTATCTGATTTTCCCGCTACAGAACTGGATTGCAGTGGCTTGGATTTGGCCGTGTTTGATCCCTGAAACAGAAATTGATTTAGTAACACAGCATAGTGCATATTTCTGAATAGTTACTTACATCTGTATCAGCGGAGTTTTCCAATTTATCGACAAAAGCTTGCCTGGACTCTAAAAAAAGGCAAAATAATGTAAAATCACACACCGAGATGATAATTTGCCTTACCAGGTTCGGAGCACAACAAGAGAATTTCATTTTCTGTTAGATCTTTACATTTGGTCCGAAAATCTGCGACTTCTTCCATGAAACGGTCCCAAAAGTTGCCCTTTTCTTCCTTGATTTTAAAGAGATTCTGCAAATCAGAAACAAGTCATTGCAGCTGCATAAAGGAAAATGTTCCAAACGTCTTACTTTAACTTTATTATAAATTTTCTCGGCTTCATTGCGAATCTTCTCAGCTTTTCGCGCAAATGTGTTGCTTTCCTCTACGCTCATTGCCCATTCTTTTGTATTACCTACATACTTACGCAATCTGAAATAGCAGTTTTACATTAGTTTATAAAAATCTCTAGATAATAATCGCGCTGAGCATTTTACCTGCGGATTGTGTCTAAAACATGCGGATGTTTCTTAAACATCAGCGTCTCCACATCTCGCTCGAAAGTCCTAAATTCTCCCAAAGCTGACAAAGCTTTTTCGGGGAAAGCTTTGTCTAAACCTAAAAATGAAATAAGAACACAATCATGTAAAAATCGAATTGGACTTGGATAAATTATAAATTGTACGTACTTTCCTGACTGTGTTTCAATTCCAAATTAAAATCAAATCCTGGGTTCTTCAGTCATTTATTGTATTTATAATATAAACAGTAATTCGCTTTATGTGCAAAATGGACAAAATTAATACTCCAAATACATGCCAAGGCGTAAAGTAGCAACAACGCTACACATTGAAACTGATGATGGTGGAAAACACCGAAACGTCTTTTTAATTGATAAATAGACAATAAATGACTGAAGAACCCAGGATTTGATTTTAATTTGGAATAAATTATAAATACCGAGATTATTTTTAATTTTCGAATCCCACGTTACTAACACTGCCTCTTTTTTGAGCATCTCCAATTTCTCTCTCTTTGCTTCGATATCATTGAGGTACGAACTGTTATTGATTTGTTCGGTGGTCATTTGGATATCAGGAACAATTGCTACATCTACTTGATCAGTGGTTTTTTGTCCGGAAACAAGTAAGTTTTTCACGTTCAGTGTAAGTTTAGCAACCTGAAGCAAATTCAATTGGCTGCAGGGACGAGATTTTCTGTTTGTTTTCAGTGAGAAATGAGCAAAAATTCAAACTACTTTCACTAAAATCAACGCATGTCTTATACCTCATAGTCATACATAGCTCGCTCGTATTCGTTATCATGGGTCAAAGGCCACTCGTCATGCAGCGTTACCCCACAGAATTTCCCGGACGGTAGTTTAACTGGTAGCATTTGATCTTTGCTAACTTTCCGCGGCTCAACAGGTCTGTCTAAAAAAACATTAAAATCAGCAACAAAATGATTTCCAAATTAATACTAAGCTTACTCTTATACAAATCGGGGTTTGCCTTGACATGTTCCGCCTAAAATAAAAACAAGAAATTGCCACAACTATTGCCTGTATAAAAGTGCGACTACTCACATATGATATATTATTTTTCAACGTTTGTTCAGTCACTAAATCGATGTTATTCGGGAGTTTTTTCTGGGATTGCTTGTCATTGCTGGGTACTCGTTTAGCTACTGCAATATCGTCGCCAATTTCAGTTCCCTCGTCGCTCAGCGTTTCAGAAGGTTTTCTGTGAAAAAAATCATCAATCAAGCAACTCCAATTTCGATCTGAAAATAGTGGCTCGATTTGTATGAAAAAATCGCACAAGCCCATATGGCAAAACGTAAGCTTGTCGGCACTTTTCATCGTATTATTTCGGGCATTTATTACGCCAACATTAAACCTTAACATGTTGGCTTGTTAATAAAAGTGCCCTTTTAATGACATCAACCACTAACAAATAGTTAGTTAAAAATAAACGAAGTAAATAGTAAACGATTTTATTTTAACACAGCTAGTAAAATATGTAAAATTCACTAAGCTCTCGGTTTCCTTCCCTCGCACTTCAAATGATGGTACAATTTATATTAAGGGCCCTAAAGCGAGGAGCACTAAAAACCAATGCATTACATTAACTTTCCAATCGTTATTGATTAGTGTTGTGCCTAACTAACTATATAATGTACCCAAATTTTTACCCACAGGGCAGGAGCCCTGTGGGTATTTGCAAGTACATTATATAGTTAATTTCATTAATACTGATCATTAATCAGTATTAATGAAACTGCCAGGAGCACTTTCAAGAACGAAAGTATTTTTTATATTTATACCTATTGAACTTACTCTATGGCTACTTCCGGTGCTGCTAAGTCTTCGTCAGAGGAAACCGTGATGGTATCCGCAGTTTGAGCTTTTTGCTCTTGTTTCGCAGGTTCTTCTTTAGTTGGAGTAGAGCCTTTGTCATCCGATTTCTCCTTCACTGGCAAATTTGGTTCGTCCCGGTTTGTTTTTTCAACCACTTCGACCATTTCTGTAATCACTTCTATCGAACATTGTCAAGATTTACATTTGCTGATTGTTATTCTCAACGGTATACCTTCTGCAATGGACTTCTCAGATGCCTGTAAAACTTCAACAGGCTCCTTGGATTTTGACGGCGCGTCCTCATTACTTTTAACACCTAAAGCTCAAAGTATTAATGACACACTATAGTCTAGGATTATACTAATCTACACACTTGAAATGCTAGATTTCCTTGTTGGTCTTTTAGGGGCTGGCTCTTCGGAGGTATCTGCAATAAAATCGCAAAACTAACGGTAAATTGTTTACTGATGTGTTCGATTCAGGTCAAAAACCAATAGAAACACCGCATTCATCCTGAGAACCATTGAGCAAGAACTATCATATTCCTACCTCTTGACTCAGCACCAACAGTTCTTCTGGCATACGTTCGCTTTAGTGCCTTGTCTTCAAATGATGCACTAAACGCCTTCCTTTTAGGGTTCTTTTTATCAGGAAGACTTGAGACACTAGATGTGTCAGATGTCTGAAAAAATGCAACTTGTATCCATCCAGCCTGGTTGAAATCGAAATAAAACATACGTCAATCTCTGGAACGGAAGAATCCCCATTTGCGTCGGGGTTTCCATCGCCTCCATCCTTTCTAATAGCCGCCTCAATTTCCTTCACAGCATCTTCATACCCCACTCTTCTTTTAAGATACTTCTGCAGATAACTTTCTTTGTATTTGAGGTAGTAGCTCAGATCTTCGGGCTTAATTGCGCCCCTGAAATGAACTAGTGTACATTTTTTTTACCGGAGCAGTAGGTACGTTTGCTTACGTTTCTTTTGTTCCATAAAACATTACATTAAACTTCTTCTTTCCAGTATCGTTCAGAATCTGTAAGCAAGTAACAAAGGATACCATTAAATCGCATTTTTTTATTATTAGATCATGTTAGAAAATGAAAAATACATAGTTCTTCAATTCGTTTTTGCCTAAAGGGTTTACACAGGACTTTTTATGAAACCATACACACAGGGATACTTCTCACAATCAGTTTAGGCAACTAAATTTCGATCAGCCGTGAGTTCCAGTCGCTCTGGCAATTTTAGGACTTCCGGGGCCGATTCTATGGGCGTTTCTGGACTTGCTACTTATGAGAATCCGGCTACTACTTTACTGTATAATCGTGTAAAAGAGCTCTTAGTTTTAGTCGCTTTTTTAAGCGATTTATTGGACTAGAAAACTAATTGAAGCGCAATATACCATTGGACATATAAGCAGCTTTCCAGATAACAGAGTTCCAGTATATTCACTCATAATAGTGTCCCGGCTATTTGGAAGATTTATATCTGAGATATTTTAGAAGTTTTTTGAGCAAAATGTGAAACTTTCCAGTTGCCAGAAAATTTCCAGATTGATGGGAGTGTTTTAGTGTCCCAATGTGCAAGTACATAAACACGTGATTATTTATATTTTTAGTAATAGAATGCTTACTTTTGCAGGCCATGGCGGGTGGCCCTTGACTTTGGCGAACACCTTGTCACCAACTTTGTAATTCACTTTTACCATGATTTATGAAAATTCAGCGATTAGCTCGAGCCTTGCGAACGTTTATAACGAAAGCAACAAAAAGTATTATTATTAAAATTTAGAAATAAAACCAACGGGAGCTAACCTGTTGACAAATATGTATTTCGTTTTCACATTGAACTAGCGAACCGCCAAAATTGTCAAATGTGACAGCAACATTTTTCCTGTTTTCTGTGGGTGGCGTAATTTATTAATTATACTGTCATAATGCAAATTATTGAATAATTAGATTTAGTAAATATTTAGTAGGGAAAAAACCCGTCTATTTATTAAATAAATAAATGGATGGAAAAGCAAAATTTATCTTTTCTATCCATTTCTATAACAACAAAACACATATTTTTCCGTTGATTTTGCCGGACAAATACCGGAAAAAATACATGTTTCCAGAAAACCAAGAGAGAAATTTGGCAATCCTGAAAAAAAATCGAAAAGACGCCAAACTTCAAGTAAGGAAGACGACAGTCGCGGCCATTTTCTTTCAATTCTTGAAATCGTCGGTTCGAGAGCAGGTACGCAAAATATTCATTTTTTCTATGTTTCTTGCCGTTAAATCCAATTAATTGCGTTGCAAAATGCTTAACTGACCACTGGACGCACTTTACATATGAAAATATCCCAAATTACCCCTAATTTACTTCGTAACTTACAAACATGTGGTATTTAACCTAAAAACTATCAAGCTCGTCAATAATCCCATGCATTTTGTGTTATAGAAAAATGACTAACTCCAAGGGGTACAGGAGAGGAACCAGGGACTTGTTTTCCCGAAAATTCGGGAAACGTGGAGTGATCCCTCTTTCCACGTACATGAAGGTGTACAAAATTGGGGACATCGTGGACATCAAAGGAAATGGGGCTGTGCAGAAGGGTATGCCCTACAAGGCTTACCATGGCAAGACCGGCCGTGTTTTCAACGTTACTGCTCACGCTTTGGGAGTCATCGTAAACAAGAGGCAAGTATTTCCAACTAATATGAATATTTCATTTCGTATTCGAAATATGACTTTGTAGGTGTATACAGTACTTCTTAAAAATTGATTGATGTTTTGGTGTTATTTGTTATTAACGACAATGTTTTATAGGGTGCGAGGCAAAATCCTACCAAAAAGAATAAATGTGCGCGTAGAGCACGTCCAGCACTCCAAATGTCGCGAGGATTTCTTGCAGAGGGTGCAAAATTGCAAAAAGCTTCGACAAGAAGCCAAAGCAACTGGCGTCGCTGTTAACTTGAAGCGCCAACCGGCACAACCCAAGTTGGCTCATGTTGTGAGTGGAACCAACGGCGCGATTCAATTGGCTCCTATTCCTTATGAATTCATAGCCTAAGTTCAATAAAAAATGATATTTAAACTAGCTTTCTTATTTATTTGCTTGAGCTACAAAATATAATGGGGCGCAGCCTTCAACATATACCTATGTATTCAATATTACATTATGTTTCTCCTGGAAAAGTGATTTTTTCGACAATAGAAGTCCGAAGCGGCATGTGTGGCGATAACGAGTTGGGATCTCCGAATAGAGTTAAGGGCAGCTTCAGTTCCTTTACTCCACATTCTTTATTAGTGTACTCTCTTATAATGAAATTTTTTGTGAAATCATGAAACACCCTGGTGTCGTTCACCCTCACCATTACGCCGTCTACTCGCAGAAAAAATCGCAACAGAATGAAAAAAGAACTGGGCATTACTCTCTAAAAATAAAAAGAGTCCTATAAAACTTGGAATATTTGTCTCGTTGATTTGCTTACAATTTTAATGGTGCATGATGATATTCCGTTATCATGCAGCTCGTCTTCATAGAGCATCATTTCATGGTAGAACAGGATCTTTTCTTTTTGCTTTAACATTTCCATGTCTATTATCTCCTCAGTCGGTTCAATGTGGGCGTTAGCGCTCAAGGTTCCGCAATAATCTGTGCTGAATGTCCAATCAAACGGTTTTAATTTTTCTCCCAAATGCTCAGCCGGTCTAGGAATTACAAAAAATTAATAAATTAAAATGTAATAGTAAATTGTAAAAACATGAAGAAGAAAGGCTTCTACCACAGATCCTTCGTCAAAGAAAATGTGCACAAGGACAAGTTGATCAAGAAATTTTGTCATACTGGAGGAGAAAAAGTAGCTACGTCCTTTTAAAGATTTGCATTATTTTCCAACATCCGGCTTTTGGAGCTTAATGAATAAGTGGGTGATTGTTCTGTACATCTAAAGCAGTATATAATGAAGTAGCTGTGAACAAAACGTTGCAAAAAAATCATCTTTGTAAGAAAGAAAGCCGGAATAAACCATTCCATCTCATTCAACCTGCCTTGATCCTTTCCATTCTTCAGAATAGGAAACCTGAATGTGTGGTTTGCCATTGCAAACTTTTTTGAGAGCATCAAAGGTGTTGAATTCAATTTTGCCTCCACTTGGATGAATTACTGTGAGTACATTTCTAGGAAATACCATTTCCGGTAAGTGAGGCAATTCTAGGCCGTTGGAGTAGCTGAAACAGTTTGAGATGATAGAATTGAGGCCACAATTCTTGACGAGCAACTTACAGGCATAGCAAACATTGATCTACAGGTTGATTTTTACATTTTTCCGGAGAAGTGCAAAGAGAATGCAAGATGTGGGATTTCGTGTATTTAAATTTCCAGTTGTTCCATTCGAATTCTTCTGCATCTGCAGGCAATCTAAACACCTCGACTTCTCCCTGCACCTTTTCCAGAGACATTTATGTTGTTATTTCCTTTCTAGAAAGTTAATTGTTTATATACAAAAAACATAAATAACCTCTTGCTTTGGCCACCAGTGTGGCCAGATTTCCGTAAGCATCAAGGTTGCCAACTTGTCAAACGCTTATTACCGGTCAATCTCACTTCTTTTCTTTCATTTATTTTCTAGTTGGTCCATAGATAGGCAACAAAAAGTGACAGTCTCAAAACGCCAAACATCACGGTGAAATTGAAAAATAGCACCCAAAACTCGCATGACCAAATGCTTTCGTAGCAACTCGGTCCGAAAAGTGGCCCAATTTGCGGTAAATGGGCCAATCTGGCCACGCTGCTGACATTTGAATTCCGAAGTGTCTCAATAGTGAAGAAATCCGGAGAAACTAACCAAATTATCAAAGACATTTATTTTTCAATGTTATTTTTAATTCGTTTTTGATTTTCGCGATTTCTTGGTGGGGTGGTGTTTAACAGTGTCGACAATGTTCAGAAGGACGTGCCTTCAACTTAGAGCTCTGTCTCAAAGCTATTTAACAAGTCATCAAGAAATTAACATTAGGAGTTTGCCTGCAGCTTGCCTTTTTAGCAACAGTGCCTATATCAGCCCGAATGAGCCCTTGCCGGACAAACCATCCGCAACTGAAGCCCCTAAAAAGAAAAAAACGGCCCCAATTCCCAGAATAACCCTCCTGAATGGTGCTGACATTAGTATATCTACTTTGGAAGACGCTCAAAAAATAGCCAAGCGCCGAGACCTTAAACTGATAAAACTACTGGATCTCGATACGAAAACTGACCGGCCGGTATACCGTCTCATGACAGGGGCTGAATATCATCATGAAGATTTAAAACAAAGGGAGACCAAAAAGGCAATAAAGGCAAAAGGTGCATTTAAAAAGGAAAAGTTGCTCATTATGAGTCAGAATATTACTGAGCACGATTTGCAAACGAACATCAATAAGTTATTGAAATGGATAAGCAGACGGTATGAGGTTCGAATCGTAATCAACGGAAACTCGGAGAACAGCACTAAATCTGTAAGTAGTACACATTAAAATTATTTAAGCAATACAGGGGAAAATAAGTAGAAAAGTGGGTATTTAGTAAGAACATCAGTACCTATGTTTATAGGCGTAGTTAAAAATGTGCTCATCTCATAGAAAATTCGTGTACCAATAAATTTTCTTAGTAGTTGCAAAAATGCACCATTTCGGGTAACTGGTTTGCTTGTTTTTGGGAGTTTTTCTCTATCCTTCTCCAGATTGAGATTTTAATAATCCTGTTTGTCATTTGCAGGAAAATGTGTTTGCAACGATCCAAAAATCAGTAACTGATCAAGGGCGAATAGTCCAAAAACGACAAAAAGGATCGGACATAAAATTCCAAATATTGCCCCCAAAAGAGCCCAAGCAAACCGACGACAGCGACCAGAACAATGACGATAAAGCGGAGCCCCCTCCATGACTAGCCGTGGTTTTCGGAATAGTCTCATTACTGAGTTTCAAATATTATATTTACTATCATGTGTATAAAAAGCCAGGTAAGAAACAATAAATCTACTCATCAGCGGTAGCTTCTGACCGTAATTACGGTAATTTTGACAATGCTCCCATGTGTTGCCCCCAAAGTACCTTAGTTCCTAAGAATTCTACATGATTTTATCATGAGATGGAAGGTTTCAACGATTCAACGAGGTCCTTGAAAATCACGCAAAACCCTTCAGATTCGAGCCAATTGGAAGTTTTAATTTATTTTAAGCGGATTTTGAAACTCTCGATTTCTGCTTTATTACTGACCCAAACCCTATAAAGGGTGCCCCGAAAAAAAAATAAAGCTGCCAAACTCGTCCATCTGCCAATACGTTAGTCCACTTGTGGCCGCGCGAAAAACTCAAAAGATTCACCCAAAAACTCCATTTGCTGAAATGCCCAAGCGCACATATTTTCCATGCAAAAAAGCGAGGAAAACAACCAGTTCAGGTTCGAAAAAAGTGAACATTCCTATCCACTCCATATCTGTCTATATGCGTATATGTATAGTGGCCCTTCTTAGTTCAAAAGAATGCTTTGAAGTGTTGTAAATGGGGTTCCGCGCAGATAAAAAAAACACTTTTTTTATTGTATATTATTTAACAATCCTCCTCACATTCAACCACTTCCTTATTAACGCACCGTTCATCCGGATCATGGTCTTCTGTATCTGGAGCCAGCATTCTGTACCTGCTTTTGGTGCCCTTGCCACATTTTGCGCTGCAGGCCCCCCATTGGCCCCATATTAAATTGGGGCATATTTGCTAAAATAACGCTTACTCAAGTACATCGAATTAGGAGGGAACCCACTTACCATTTCCTCTTCGCCCGACTCACACGGCGATTCACATTCTTGGGTTTCTTCAATGGTTATACCTTGCACGCAATGGCCTGGTGGAGGATTGTGCTTGAATTTAATGTTTCTAGTGGCGTGGCCTTTTCCACATTGAACACTACAGGACGACCACTTGGTCCAACCAGTAGTTTCGCATCGGTTATCCCTAGAATGCCCCAAATGGACGGAAGCTTGAGATTCTTCTGGGTTTTCTTTATCCGATTCCGGTTCTTCGGGTTCAGGCTGTTGTCTGCTTCTCGTAAACGCATAAGTTAATACCAGCCGGCTGAAGGCAAAATATAATTCACCTATTAGGGTCGCACTCTTTTTTGTATGTTTTTTGCAATTTGAAGTGCAGCATTGCGATGGGTTTCATTTTTGCGCCAGACTCATCGTAGAAAGGCGACTTTGGATCGGCGGGATCCGACGAACTTATTTCTCGGACGATGGGGTTTGGATCGTTCGAAGGTTCGTTCCCGTTGTAGTCTAACGCGTCATCAATTCCAACATCTCGAGGATATAAATTCACTGATCGATACTGTTTCCAGGAGCAATTCGATAGACATAGTTCGAAACTTGAAACTCCTGTTAAAAAAATGAATAGATAGGTTTTCGGGAGGGATGTGTTGCTTACCGACAATCCAGTCTGGAGAAGGCATCATTTTCGTGGCCATGGACACTAAATGATTTTCGTTGTCCACTCGAAAAATTGCATAAGACGATGCTCTAATATTTGGATATGCCAGTCCTCGGGCCTTGATGATCGTGCGCAAATTGGACGAATTGTCTAAAAATGTCGTTGTTTTTTTCCCAATTTTTAGTTAAGAGTATTAGCACATACCCATTAATTCAGATTCCAGCGCTCTGGTGCTGCCGTTGGACGCTAATTCTTTGAGGCCTGCATTGGGTTCGCTTCCATCGCTCCAAAACTCTTGTCCACGCTTATGTGAAGCTCCAATGATGTCGCTGAACTTTGTAGCAAAGTAGTAATCGGGAAATCCTGAAAAATGTGTTATTCTAACAGTGAACAGTGTAACGATGAGAGTGAGACGATTTATTTTTATTTTAAAGACGAACATTTTGTTTTAGAGCCATTGTCAGGATATTTTCAAGATTTTTTAAACGCAGTCCGAATTTATGCACCCGAGGAATCACATCTGAACAGTGTAAGCGTTCAAGCAAACCACTTCTGAAGATGCAAGCCACTCGTGCTTGCGAAACGTCAGGAAGAAATTCTACCGAATGACGGCCTAAAAACCCGAGAAACCCATTAGAAAAATTAATGGCGTTAAAATTTGAAAACTGATAGTACTTCGTGTTTTTAATTTTTTTCCTTCAAAATTGACTTAAAAATTTGGATATTATCGTATTCTTTTGATTTCCTGAATGATTCTTATATTGAGGTCGAAAACTTGATGTTTCCTGATCATAAATTTTACTTTATCACCTCAAACACTCAGTATTCTGGCCTTTTTCCTTTATAGTTACAGAAAGGACACTAACATCGATTGCAATTTTTCCCATTGCTAATTTGCAATTAAAGTCGAGAGTCATTTTGTCCATTGCCCGTCCACATGTCCCGGACAAATCGACTCGTGCTGGCTTTTTCATTTTAATGAAAATGTGAAATGTTCAAAACAATTTCCCTGCCTAAATCCGTTTTGCTAGTGTTTTAGTGAATTGAAGTCCAATTTTTTCAGTTTATTCTCAATTATTTGCCATACATTTTTATATCTGTTCTTATCAGTGATTTATCTCCATAGTTATTGCAGTCTATTTTGCCTCATTTTTTTTTAAATCTTCAGTCCTAGGAATATTCTCTCCAGTTCCCTATTTTCGTTTACATAATTCTTTTCTGTAAGCTTAATTTCTGCTTCCTTTCCTTCTTGGAAATACCGACAATGTGTTATTTTATTCCTTTAATGTATATTGTTTCATACGATTTTTATTTTCTACATGTTTTAAGCATTTTGTGGGGCAGCTTCTGGTTGTCTTTGCTGCTTTTTTCTATAATATTTTCAAACTGTTTCCAACTACTTTCCGTTGCTTGTGTTGCAATTGGTTTCAGCTTGTGTTACATTTTTATGTACCTTCGTCATAATTATCTGTGATAGTTTTCGAAATATTGTCCGACGTTTAAGAGAGACTCGCCGTCTAAAGATTTGTAAAGTAAATTCGGCAAAGGAGGAGGCTGCAAAATCTCTGTATTGTTCAAGTAAAGGATTTTGAATAAATTGCGTGCAACTTCAACAGTCTGCAGCTCAGAAATGAAATGTTTGTGAATCTAAATTTGCAGAAACTTTTTACATTTTTTATGTAAGAGTTAGGCTTTCAGGGCTTAAAAGCCCGAAAAACGCATCAGTTTCAACTCTGTTTATGGCTTGTTTGAAAACCCCTAAAGTCACCTAGAAAGCTTTGTTATCCCTGATGTAGTTTTTTAATAGAAATTGAGATTAGTGTAACTTTAAAGCTTAAACATTTGAAATCGCTCACAAAAAATGAATATACAGTTGAGTCCGGATATAACGAACTTGAAAAATGAACTAAAACTGGTTCGTTATATCCGGAGTTCGCTATAAGCGAATAATAATACAAAAACACGTGGTGTATTTTATTTCGTTATTTTTACATAGAGTAGTAGAAGTTAGTAGGTATCTAAAAAGAACACAAAAAGATAAACAAAATTCAATTTCAAATCTACTTCATAAAGTCTATAATTTTTGTTTGTACATTTCTGCTGCAAAAATAGATGTTATTTATGTAGTTTTCAAGATCACAAAAGGGCTCCCAGATATGATTAGGAACTTGGCGTGATTGTAGAAAATTCCTAGTTTCTGACATTTTTTTGTCATTTCAGAAATGGTTGGAACAGCATTAGTGTCTACAGTAGAATACGTTTCACCTAAATCGTCATCTTCCTCATTATCGCTTAAAGCTGTAGATGAGGTTACGG